GCTAAATAGTCTCCAAATGAGGTCATCTCAGGACCTTGAAAATAAAATGAAATATGCTAAAATAATGAAAAGTAAACTAGCCTAGAAAATAAAACATTCTCCATATATGTCTATCTATGAAATTGTGAAACTAGGTTAAATATGAGAGAGAAAGAGCTATTTCTGACAGGGATCTTGTTGTGATCTTCTGATCCAAGTTCCCAGTTAACTAGGATTACCAGGGCATGTGTCCAGCCTGGCTAGGTTGGTCCAGGGTCTAAATCCAAACACATCTTATGGTCCCAAATTTACACGACACCCTGCAGCTTACACTGCTGTGATTGGGCCATAACGAATGTTTAGTGTCAAATAATTTAGCATTATCCGAATGAAAGTACTAACTTTGAAAGATTTCCAAGGCAAATTGCTGGGATAAAAAAGCAAGATATGGAGTAATATATATGTGTGGAAATATAAGAGCATTTATAAAATGTAATGAGTGAAACAGACTTAGGCTGTTAATAGTACTTCTGAGTTTGTTTGAGGGGAAAGTGAATAGAAAAAGGGAGTTGGGGGGATAAAAATAAATTTTTCTGTTTTACCCTGTATTCTTTTTTCCCATTATCTTAAACATTTTATACTGAGAATGTAATGATTTGGGTAATTATAACAAAATTTAACAAGTGTCACACTCATCACATAACCTATTTCCTTATATATTTACCTATAGATATATACTTTTATGAGAATCATTTTTATAAAGATTCTAACATTTTATAAAGTTCTATTCACTTAATGAGTATAGAAATAAGTGACTTTTAAAAAATTTATTTATTCATTCTTTTTTTTTTTTTTGGAGAGGTTTTCGCTATAGGGCGCGTGCACTCACCAGACAGACAGAGACAGAGAGACAGAAAGCGAGAAATCACCCCTCAGGGGGGATGGTCACACCGCAATCCCTTCTCCTCCATTCTCCTCTCGGGATCTTGGGCACGCACGCACACGCGCCCGGCGTGAGATTTAAGCCTCCGGGTCCGAGACACGAACCGCGGTCGACTACGTGGGAGTCCAGTGACATGGCCATTACGCTAACTGCTGGTTCCCTATTCATTCATTTTAATTTGACCAGAGAGAGACACCGAGAGAGAGAGAGAGAAAGTGAGAAACCAAGCCGCCAGGTCTGGGACTCGAAAGAGAAAGCCACTAGGTCCAGGACTCAAACCATCGTTGGCCATGTGGGAGTGTCCAGTGCTTTAACCACCATGCCACCTACTGGTTTCCAAAATAAGTAAATGATTTTTAAAATCTCACCACAAGCTTTGTCTTCTATATATTTTATATCTTCCCAAGGGCCCAGTATAGTGTTTTACACAAAGTGAAGACTGATTAACTAGCAAAAAATTAAAAAAAAATTAAGATATGCTTCTTGATACAACTTAATATTTTTCAAAAAATAAATATGTCAATATGTTCATATTATATATATATATATATATATTTAAAGACATTTTGTAAAAGAGACAAAAATTGCTGTGTTTCACGTTTTAAAATGTAATTTTTAAGGTTAGGATAAATTCTTGCATTAATTCATTTATTTAGTAAATAATTGCATACTTACTCAATATTATTGGATCAAGTATGGTTGAAAGTACCAGAGATTTTTTTTTCATAGTCATTTTTTATTGAATTTAAAGATGTTTATTGCATTATATTTTTGGTGGAACGAAATGTAATATATATTTATTTGTGAAATACCCAAAGCTAACCTGGATAAGAAGCATTTTCCTATTCTCAGTCCATTTCTAAGGACTAAATCATTAATTGCTCCACTGTAATAAATCTCTTGTAATAGTTGGACATTATGTTTAATATTCATTCATTTTCTCCTCTTAGCATAGGCAGCAATTCACCATTTTCTTTCAGTTCCTTAACAATATCCAATCCTCAACAAACTCCCTTTTCACATAGAGATGAGGTTATGTTGGCCAATTTGAATAAGCTTTCAACCCTTGTCGAACTTCTTCATCCTCCAATACGTCAAATGTTTCATATTTAACACCAGTGGTATTCAGTATTTCCAGAATTTGTTTGCTGAATCCACATTTTGCTTCCTGTTTCTTTCCTTTAATAAAGAGCATCACAGAAGTTTTATTTGTTAGCACTTTGAGCATTTCCTCTCATTTGGGAGCTTTGGGGCAAATTATATCTAGCTCTTCAGATGCTTCTACCTCCTTAATAATATCAAGTCTTCCTATGAACTCTCTAGAAACATAGAGCTGAGGATAAGTAGGACAATTGGAATAGGCTTTAAGCCTCTGCCAAACTACTTCATCTGAGAGGATATCAAAACTGCTAAACTGAATATTATGTTTGTGAAGAATTTCTACCACCACCTTGCTGACACCACAGTGTGGTTTGTGAAGCGTTCCCTTCATAAACAACATACAGGGGTCAGTATGAGTTAATTTCTTGAGGTGAAGGTTGGGATCTTTTTTTAGGATGCTCATTAGTGTTGAGTAGGATGGAGCCACTAGATTCATGTCGTTGAACTTTTTTGGTCAATCCTGGGGCATGTGCACCATCTAATTGGTCAATTTTCTGAGAATTCTTGAAAAACAGAAAGGTAGGAACAGAACTAATTTCATATTTTTCAGATACTTCAGGAACAGCTTCAGCTTTGAACTTCACAAATGAAACTTGAGGGTGTTCTTACACTAATTCAGTCATTACATCGTTCATCTGTGCACATTGTGGAGCCCATAGGGCCCAGAAATGGACCACAAGAAGAGACTTGGCTTCGAGACGGAGCAGCACCTCCAACTGCCGGACTGAGCAGACCTCCACCACCGCCGCTGTTGCCATCTCAGCTGCCCCCTTGCCGTGTTGTTGTCATCAGATGAGCAGTATCAGAGATTTTTTTTTTCCCTCCAGTGGAAAGTGCGAACGCAGTCCCCCACTACCACAAATTACGCAGTCGAGTTTCCCACATTTGGGAAAATCGCAGGGGTCAGCACATCCGGAGTGCAATGGATAAGCCTCGCCGTGGGAAAACCACCTTCGTGATCATGGTATCTCCCCTGCCAGGTAAGTATCAGAGATTTTAATGATGAACAAGACTAAGTACCTGCTCTTCATAGCATATGCACTTGAGATAGAACACAAAACTGGTATGAAGATCCAGGAAGCTAGGAGAAAGTGTAACATGATGACGTGGTGGGTGACTACCTATAGTACGCTTGCTGGTGAATATTCTGGGCCCTGTGATTGGATAAAGTTGAGCTGAGAAGTATGAGATTGTAGCATATGACAACTCGTGGGAGGCCTTGAGTGCCAATGCACTCCTAACCTGCCCACTCACATGGAGCCTAGTATAAAAGGTAGAAATCTCTGTCTCTGGCCTCTGAATTAACTGATCCCTGACCCTGCAAACATTCCATTGACTACTGAAATGCATGTAGTATGAGAAAAGGAGGCAACAAAGATACACATTCTCTCCTATGGGTCCATTTTTCTCATGGAACATCTTTCCTGTTGGTTTTCTGTCTCAATGGTGTAAATCAAGGAGAAAGAAACCTTAAGTTGAATCCCTGTTGTTATTCCTTTCAATATTTAAACAGGGATCAACATTTCTGTTTTCTTCCAGGCTCACAGATCTTTAGGAGGGACAACCTTGTCATTACCTATGAGTTTCCATTGAAATTCTTTACATGAGACTTTAAATAAAGGAAATTTACTAGCCAGGGTTATTTAAAGTCAAGAGAGGTCCAGGTCACATCAATGTTTTAGTCTCTAATGTATGAAAAAATTAGGAGAGGAAGCAGGAGTACAAAAATGTTGATGTATTTTAAATGTTTTACCAAATTAACCCTTTCAGTACACACAGAAATCTCACTGGAAGTAAAAATGTCAAAAGTCTAAGTTTGATGGCCTTCATTCGTGATGACCTTTACCTTTTAGGTTAGTCTCAGAGCAAATGTCTGCAGCAAGTGAATCTTCATTTCATTTGATAGGCCTATGAATATTCATTGATATCCTCCTTAGTGATATTTCTGAAAGATATGTAGAAATGTTCTGTATGTTGCCATTTCTCACAGCCATTCTCAATGAAAGTGAAGGGTATGTTAAGTTTTGGTTCCACTAAGAAATTTGTACAAATCAAAATCCTCCACAGAAAAAATAGGTATTATAAAGCTCTTCTGATTGGCAAGTTCTAAACACAAAATCATGAACCAAAAATACAAATTACCTGGCACTGCCTACAGGATTCTAAGTCAATAGGTATAGATGGAGTATGGGCAAGTGCACCTTTTAAAAATTCTTCAGGTAATTCTAGTAAAGGACAGGTTTGGAAAACACTGCTTTTGGTTAAATTTCTTCGATATACATTATTTAGCTAGACCATTAGTCTGCTATTAATATTTCAGTATATCATTCTGGTCTTTTTTTCTTCAATGTATAGATTCTCTGTTATGTAGTCACAACCACAACATAATTCATTTTCTGTTTTTTTTTTTCTTTTTAAAGTTGAAATGCATTAATTTATAATATTCTCAAAATCTTGTCACTTGATTTCTTAAAATGTTGATTTATCTAAATAATTCATTTAATATGTAGTAAATTCAAATTTTACTACATACTAAATTTAAGTTTAAATTTGATTTATATTTAGTATATAGTAAATTCAAAAACAGAAGGGTCATACTAATTTGCAATAACCAATATTAACTAAGACATAATAAACTCAGAATTTTTTAACTAATAAAAACTCTGATATTATATACCCTTTCAGTGATGATGTTAGCCAAAGCTAGAACAGCTAAAAAACTTAACAAATGTAATGGAAAACATAGAATTCCAGCTGCTTTGCTATATTTTGTTGAAATGTTTTAGACCAACCAAAAGGAAGGCCTTTTAGAATATGATTCACAGATCTGAGAAAGTGGCTGGTTGATTTTTACAGAAACTCCTAAGTAGGACATTTAACCCATATTGAGAATAAATAAATTTCAATACCAATAAGAATGCTCAGTTCAGTAGCACATATACTAAAATTAGAATGATATAGAGATGATTAGTTTTGCCCTTCTGCAAGAATGACACACATATTCATGAAATGTTCCATTTCTCTTTCATAATATATTAGCTGAAAATTTCCAAAATTGAGAGAGGCATATATGGAAATTCAAATCCAGGAAATACAAAAAAACACCAAATAGACTTAACATAAGATCTGAGGTACATCATAGCTAAACTGGTAAAAATTCAAGACAAAGATAATACTGTGAAAATGACAAGAAACAAATTACAACTAGAGGGATAAATACGACTAGGAAAAAAAAAGTAACTGAATTACAGAAACATCATACATATTGATAATAATATGCAATATTGATGGGTAAAGTTATCCAACTAAAAGGCACAGACTGCCTCAAAAGGAAAAATACCTCTATATGCTGCTTACAAGGAACACACTTCACAAAGATATACACAGAATGAAAATGAAGGGCTGGAAAAAGTCATTTCATGTAATCAGAAGTGAAAAAAATGGGCAAGATTCACAAAATTGATATCAGACAAAATAGACTTTAAGATAAAAAAGGTAGCGACAGTAGGTAGTGTGGTGGCACTGAATCCCATGGCTGATCACATGGTTCTAGTTCCAGAGCCAGTGGCTTGAAAAATAATCTGCTGCATGTGCATGTCCAAAATCCCAAGAGAAAAATGGAGGAGAAGGAATTACAGCATGGCCATACCTTCTTGGGGGTGATTTCTCACTTTTCCTCTCTCTGTCTCTGTCTGGTAAGCACATTTGCCCTATGGCAAAAATATAAAGAAAAAAGGGTAAGAAAAGACAAAGAGGGATACTATATAGTTCTAAAAGGATCAATTCACCAAGAAGATAACAATTATAAATATTTATACACCCAATGCCAGAGCACCCAAATATGTAAAAGAGAGACTGCTAAATCTGAAAGGAGTGATACAGATTGCAATGCACTAATTGTTGGATATTTCACCTCCCCAGAATCACCACTGGATAGGTCTAGACAAAAAATAAACAGACACCAAAGCTAATTGATATCATAAATCAAATTGAACTTATAGACATATAGAACATTTCACCTAGCAACTATAAAATACAGGGATCTTATAGACGTACAGAACATTTCACCTAGCAACTATAAAATACAGCTTTCTTTATTTCCACATGGAATATTTTCAAAGATTGACCATCTTATAAGCCATAAAATAAGACTCTACAAATTTAAAGGCATAGAAACTATACCAAGCATCTTCACTGACCACAATGAAATTAAACTTGAAATCAACCATAGAAAGAGTCCTTGAGAATACACAAAAGCATGGAAATAAACAACCTTGAGAGAGTGGTTGGTTGTTTTTTTACAGGAATCCTAAAGTGGGACATTTATGTAATTCTAAGTTGAAAATCAGCCTACTTCTGTACAACTTTCAGGCTACTAAAGATATTAAGACTAAAATCAAAAGAGTCATTGAAATCAGTGATAATGAACACATAACTATCCATAATCTCTGTGACACAGAGGTAGCAGACATAAAAGGAAAGTTCATAGCCATTAGTGTTCATAAGAAAAAAATAGAAAAGTGGCAAATAAATACTTAACATTGCATCTGAAAGAACTGTAAAAGCAGCAACAGAACACCCCCAAAAGAACAAAAATAGTAAAGATTAGAGATGAAATAAATATAGTATAAAAAACTATAAAAATCAAGTAAACAGAAAGATGATTTTATGAGAGGATAAACAAAACTGACAGTGTTAACTAGACTAATCAAGAAAAACAGAGAAAAAACCCAGATGGATAAAATCACTAACAAAGCTGTAATGTTATAACCAATATGACAGAAATACAAAAAATTCTGAGAGAATACTATGAGCAACTGTATGTCAACTAACTAGAAAACCTAGATGTGATGGACAAATTTCTGGACATGTACAACTGACCTATGAGGAATTAGGATGAAATAGTTATTAAGAAGATCAATAGCAAGTGACGAGATTGAATCAGTAATAAAAGTCTCCCTAAAAAGAAAAGCCTAGGGGATGGTTTCAATTCTAAATTCTTCAAAACTTTTAAAGAAGGGCTAATCTCAATTCTCCTCAAACTATTTTTAAAGATTTAAAAGAAAGGAACCCTCCCAATCTCACTCTATGAACCCGCCATCACCTTGATACCCAAACCAGACAAGGACATAACAAAAAAGAAAACTAACGAACAATATCCCTGATGAATACTAATGCAAATTTTTCAACAAGATACTAGCAATGCAGATCAAACAGTACATTGAGAAGATTATACACCATGAGCAGTTAGGCCTTTTTCCAGAAATGCAAGGATGGTTCAACATACACAAAACAATAAATGTAATACATCACATTAATAGAAGAAAAGATAAAAATGCTATGATATGTATAAACACAGAAAAAGCATTTGATAAAATACAATACCCCTTCATAATCAAGACTCTTAGCAAAATAGAGGTAGAGGGATATTACTCAACACAATAAAAGCCATATACACAGACCTATTGCTAACAGCATAATTAATGGTGAAAAGTTGAAAGCCTTCCCACTGAAACCTAGAAGAAGACAAGGCTACCCACTTTCTCCATTCCTTTTCAACATAGTACTGGAAGTCCTAGTCAATACAATCAGACAAGAGAGCATAAAAAGGCATTCAGATAGGAAAAGTGACCTATTTGCAAATGTCCCTATTTGTGGACAATATGATTGTATACATAGAAAATCCAAATTAATCCACCAAAAAAATCTTAGAAATGATAAAATTAATTTGGTAAAGTAGCAGGATACAAAATCAATATACAAAAATCTATAGCATTTTATATACTAACAATGAACACACTGAGACAGAATTGAAGAAAACAAACCTATTTACATTAGCCACAAAATGAATAGGATACCTAGCAAACCAAAAAGGTAAAAGATCTAGCAAAATGTATAAGATATCTAGCAAACCAAAGAGGTGAAAGCCCTCCAAAGGAAAACTATGAAAAACTGGAAAATAAAATTAAGCATGATGAAAAATAAATAGATAAAAGAAAATGGAAAGACATCCCATGTTCTTGGGTTGGAAGAATCAATACAATCAAAATGTCAGTTATACCCAAATTGGTCTACATATTGTATGTGATTCCAATCAAATTGCCAGTGACATTCTTCACAGAACCATAAAAAACAATCATTACATTTGTCTGGCATCATAGAGACTCTGTATCACCAATGCAATACTATGCAAAAAAAGAATAAAGTAGAAGGCATCTCACTATCCAACTTCAAAATACAATATAATGTGATAATAGTCAAAACAGCATGGTGCTTGAACAAAAATAGTCACATAGACCAATGAAATACAATAGAGAATGCAGAAATAAACCCCAATCATACAGCCAATTGATTTTTGACAAAGGGTACAAGATAATGAATGCAGTGGAGAAAAGGAAGTCTCTTCAGCAAATGGTGCTGGAAGAATTGGATATCTGCCTACAGAAAAAAATTGAGTCTAGACCTATATCTCTCATTATTAACAAGAATCAATTCAAAGTGTATAAAACATTCAATGTAGAGCCTCTACCAGTATAAAACTACTGGTAGAGAACTTAGGAGAAATACCTGAAGACATTGAAACAGCCAAAGATTTCTTAAATGTGACCCTTAAAGCACAGACAATATTTCCAAACATAAACAAGTGCAATTACATCAATCTAAAGGAAACAAAAATTAAAGTGAAAAGACAACCTTCAGAATGACAGAAAATATTTGCAAATTACTCCTTATACTAGGAATTGATGACCAGAATATACAGTACATGCAAGGAGCTCACTCATTTAAAAAAAATAATTATCCAATTTAAAAATGGGTAAAGGAACGGAATAGACAACTTTCTGAGGAGGACTTACAAATGACCAAAGGCATATGAGAAGAAGTTCAAAGTCTCTTGTAATAAAAAAAACATGGAAATTAAAAGCACAATAATATATCATTTAAGTAGGCCCTACCTATTCTAGATTGTAGAAATCAAAATAATAAATAACAATGAGTATGACCAAAGGCATATGAGAAGAAGTTCAAAGTCTCTTGTAATAAAAAAAACATGGAAATTAAAAGCACAATAAGATATCATTTAGGTAGGCCCTACCTATTCTAGAATGTAGAAATCAAAATAATAAATAACAATGAGTGCTGGTGAGTCGGTAGTGAAAAGGGAACCCTCTTATGCTGTTGATGAAATTTATGTTAGTATAGCCTACATGGAAAACAATATGGAGTTTCCTCAAAAACCCACAAATAGAACTACCATATGGTCCACTAATCCCTACCAAATATCTTTGGTATTTATCCAAAGGATAGAAAAACAATCAGCTGGAGCATTTGAACATCCATGTTTACTACAGGACTATTCACAATTTCTAAGACATGGATTCAACCTAAGTATCCAAACACTGATGACTGGATTACAAAACTCTGACACATACATACTATGGAATATTACTCAGCGATAAGAACAGTGAGACCCTATCATTTGATTCAAAGTGGATGAATATAGAGGACTTAATAATATTAAATAAAGTTAGGCAGACTTTTAAAGATACACACTGTACATCCATACTCAATACAGTACCAAATGTCTGCATCCTATTGCAACAATTGAAAGATTCAAAGATGTATTAGTGGGAGGATAAGCAGAGACTGTAACAGAGGGGAATGGGTGTTAAAGAGTGGGTAGAGGGTGGCTGGGAGGGCCTAAGGGAAGAAACATGTACAGATTAAAAAAAAGTAAAGTTTTCTGTTGAGAAAAAAGTTAATAATTTTTGTTTTATAAAAATCAAAATTAAAAAAATTAAACAAAATTTAAAAAATATCAAAAAGATCAAGAATCAGTTTGGAAAGATTTTTCCTTTCTTAATATTATATAATAGTTATCAATTCAATATTTTACATGGAAAAAAATAGTCTTTCATTTTATTAAAATTTGTATACATATAATTTGATAAACTGGATTTAGTTGCTTAACAACTGAAAAGAAAACATTTCTTTTCCATTCTATGTATCAATTGGTAAGTTACCAG